TAAAAAATTTGGGTTACAAGTGTCGATAGTGTGAACAAGTGTCGATAATGACGATAATTACCAACAGTGTCGATGTCAGTCACTACCGACAGCGGCGATAATGTCAATGTTACTAACACTGTCGATAATGTAAGTAATAAATCCATAAAATCCATAAAATCCGTACATAAAATACACAAAAAAAAGCATAAATTCATAATATACAAAATATATAATAAAAGCAACAAATACGCAATAAACATAACAAAAAAAATAAAAATGTTAAAATTACAATTAAAATACAAAACACTCAGTAAACAAACAATAGAATTATAAAAAATACAATAAACATATAAAGCAAACAATAAAAATATAAAACATTCAACAAATATCTAAAACACAAAAAAATATAAAATGTACAATAAAAACATAAAATATACAATTCAAATATAAAATATGACCTATGACCTGTCATCATTCATGTCACCTGTCAAGTCAGATATGACATGTCAGTTCAGATATGACATGTCAGTTCAGATATGACATATACCAGTACATTTTTTATATCGGTATATATTTTACACCGTTACTTTTTTACACTAGTACATTTGTTATACCAGTACGTAAACATATAAATATATATATATATTATACATAGAGTCGATAATTTAAACAAGTGTCGATAATGTATGCACGTGTCGATAATACAATCAAGTGTCGATAATGTAAACTGTGCTGTGCACGAGCTTCGTGGATTCGGCGTGGATTTTATGATTATTAAATTATTTGATCATGTTGTAATTCTGAAACTAGCAATACCTTATGACCTATGATATTGTATACCGAATAAGGTAGCAATAATAATAATAGAAAAAAAATATTTAAATAATTTCAAAACGCAAAATGTATAGTTTTCAACCGGAGCTATATTATTTCACAGCACACGATGCAATTTCAAAACAGTTGTATGGTTCTCAGCCGAAGCTATATTATTTCACAGCACACGATGCAATTTCAAAACAGTTGTATGGTTTTCAGTCGGAACTATATTATTTCACAGCACACGATGCAATTTCAAAACAGTTGTTTGGTTTTCAGCCGGAGCTATATTATTTTACAGCACACGATGCAATTTCAAAACAGTTGTATGGTTTTCAGCCGGAACTATATTATTTTACAGCACACGATGCAATTTCAAAACAGTTGTATGGTTTTCAACCGGAGCTATATTATTTCACAGCACACGATGCAATTTCTAAACAGTTATATGGTTCTCAGCCGGAGCTATGTTATTTCACAGCACGGAATGTTATTTTCCCTGGTTATTCCCGAGTATTGTTGGTTCCATGAAGAGCAAGTGATACTATACTCGGGTGTCAGCGTGTATCTTTTGTGCAGGGTGTTCATAGAGTACTTGTAAAAGCCTTCTATGTACTTCCTTCATCTGACAACTGTTAAAGCTCTCAGACTGGTACACTACACCTCACCTATAGTTTGCACCGTTCTCCCGTTGTCAGGCACAACAAGTGACTTGCTGTCCACTTAGCATCTACCACTCCGTCACTAAACCCGATCTGTAACGTCCAATGGTCGTCAAAAGAAGAGCGAATAATATTTTCCCAATTTTTCCAACTCCGTCACCAAAAGCCCGATCTGTAACATCCAACGATCGTAAAAAGAAGAAGGAATTTCAGAAAAACATCGCCTTTTATATGTAAGCATTGTTTTTGCATGTTTACAATTTGCGCCCCTGCTTATTGTTTTTCAAGTCTTTCTGTGCGAAATTATTTTTGGCTGTGTAGGGCTTGTGTTCATGCTTATTATTTGCACAAATAAGTTAATACCGCCTGATATTATGTAACCCTAATTTTCGTGCGGGAAAAATTGGGTCATTACAATATATATATTGTAATCGTTACAAAATAATAATTGTTACAATCGCCGATATTTATTGGCGTTTCTCATTTTATTAAAGATTGCTATTTTTAAAAATAAAAGCAACGATTGTATAGTTGGAGAACTTGGTGCGCTTCTTATGAGTGCATTTCTTGTTATGATTTTTATTTGAATTTTTACTTTCAACTTAACCTAGGTACATAACGACGCAGCGTATGTACTTTCTTATTTAGTAAATATTTTATAATTATTATACCATATATTGGTGTTATTTATTTTAATATTTTGTATGTAGTTTTATTTATATACAAAACGGCGCAGCGTAAGTACTTTAATATTTAATAATTTATTGCTAAGTAAGCGTCTTCGATTCCACTTGTCTCGAGTATGTTTACTGTTGATGTTGTTGTATATGCGGTCAATGCCTGGCAAGCATATGGTTAAATCGAAGGCAAAGTGCCGCCGATATGTGTGGTGTCAAATTCCTTGTGTGGAATTGTGCATTTGTTTGTAAACAATGCAATGCGCTTGGAACCAATTAGTGTATTTGTATATAATTACGTGGTTGCACGCAAATAAGTGAATTAAAGTTATGAAATAAAAACAAAAATGGAATTTTGTATTTAATTAAATTTTATTTATTAAACGTAGTCAATGAAACCTTTTTTTCTTCAAATTTTCTTATGTTAAATTTTAATATATGTTATTAAATAATTTTAATATTTCAATTTAAATATTTTATCTTTAAAATATTTATTTTACTAATTTTCACTTTCAATTATTCAATTTCAAATTTAAAATAGATGTACTCTTTGACAAAACTATTTAAAGAAACGAATGAGACACTTGTAATCTTTAACAAATTCTAAAGTTAACAGGATTGATCTTAGGGTTTTATACCCGGTTTAACAGAGATAAATTCAAGCTCTCAAAAGCTATATTTTGGAGCTTTGAATTTTTGTATTAAAACAGCTTAAAGTTTCTGTTCTAACAGAAAGCTTAATGTTGTTTAAAAGTTACTGTAAGGTAACAGAAAGTTTCTCTGTTGTTAGCATGACAACTCAAAAGTTTGCTGTTTATAACATAGCGTCACTTTTAAGCTCTTACTTAAAATTATGCTATGATCAGCATTGGGTACAGTCACTTAATGCTGTACAAAGACTTTTGTTGATCATACGATCATGTACTCAAGGTTTGTTTACAATAGCTTTTATTTTGTTGAAGCTATTGTATGGTCACTTAAGGAAGGGGTTGTTACTTTGTAACAATGTTTAATGTGAAAAACGTGTAGCGTTTTTTACAATGTACGGGATAAGTGGAATTTTCAAACAGTTCTGTGTGGTCGTTTGGGTATTTAATTTATGTTTATTTACGTTTGAAGTATAAGGAATTTTTATTGAACTTTATGATGTGACCAATTTTTATGCAACAATGTGATTGATACATTGTGGCAATAGAGAAATATTAGCATCTATGCTAATATGTAACTATATACATTATAATATCCAATTTCTGGATATATATATGTCATCAATATATGTAACCTTATATTACGGAATAATTATAATAACTCAATAACTCCGTGCTTATTCTTAATTACTAGGACATATAAGTTAAATGTTCTTTTTTAGTTTAAATAAATTACGTGTTGTTTCTTCGGAGTCTGAAGCAGGAGAGACCGAGCGCACTTTTGCGAAGTTGGGAGATACCGAAGCCAAACGGGACTTTTCCAGACAAACAAATGGAAATCCCGTTTGGTAGCAACCATGCGTTCGAACAACATCGCATGATTGCTCCGTTAATGAAACTAAGCACAGGGCCGAATTTTGGGGTACGCGAGAGTTAACTTATATATGTCATGAACATATTGTAATATTATGTCAGGATGTAATATTTAAATTGTACCATTTAAACGTGCTGCAATGTAATAATATGGTGGCAGGATTGCCATCTAATGCCAGGATATTGGCAGGATATTATTCTCAAAAATTATAATTTTATTTAAGCCCAATTTAAATTCGACCTAACAATAGTTAAGTATTAATCTGAGCTCTTCAGCCGCTTATTAGTATTACTAAGCTCTTTAGCCGCCTTTTAGTTATTACCAGCAAGAATGCCGCTTATAACTTGAGATTCAATGAAAGAAGTCTAAATGAATCTAAAGAGAATCTAAATGAATCTAACTTTATTCCGAAAATGTTACACTATTTATACAAAAATTATTTTATGTACTAAACTTATTATTTAATTTCTATATGTTCATGAGTAACCAATCAATGCATTCGTACCTCCCA